CCCCAAAACCCCAAAACCCCAAAACCCCAAAATCCCAAAGTAATTGAAGGATTATTAAGATTTATGAACTTCTGAAATGCTCCAATGAAGGCCTGAAATGTCCAAAACCAAGATTCTCAGGGAGATTTTATGGGAAATTCTTCTGTAGGATTGCCAATTTCTTCAGTAAATATCCATTCTTTCGGAATTTTACAGTATCGTATATGTCTTGAGTGGACTCCAGGTCCGTGTCTGAGCTACTAGCTGATTTAAATGAAGCTCGACTTATGTATTCCAAGGGATCTGGAGAGCTTTCTCGCAAAGCCCCCTCTTCCATTAAGGAATACTGGGATTGAGTTTCCTCTTTTGGGGTTGCTTTGAGGCTAGCAGGGGAAGCATGGCTAATCTCATCCTGACTAGCAGAGTCAGGGCTAACTTGACTTCCTGTTGAAGAAAATGATGATTCTGATTCAACATCATCAACTATCTCTTTGGATTTTAGCTTTCTGAAGTTAGCACGACGTGAGATAGACTCCTGCCTATTGTTATTTGACCTATCCCTGCCATTGATACTTCCTAATTGAGATTTTCACCTTAAGATTTTTGGACGATTAGCTCTCCTGCCACGAGTCTGAGGACAATTACTCCTCGATTTTGGATATTTTGTATAAGTCTTTTCAGCCAATAAGGCATCAAATTTGTTGCCTACATTTGTAGGGCCATCCTGGATTTCTCTGAAGACCTGATCCAACCTTGTTTTTGAAGGGTATCAAACTGACATCACTCTTTGGTTCATATCTCTTGTGTAGGGCTTCATACCTATATTACCGTAAGCTACTAGCCAAGAGAGATTGAGGTAACTTACTCTGTTGCCCACTGATCTCCCATTTCCTCTGAGAAGCTCACCGGATTAGGGTAGAGTTCGTATTGTTCCTATTGATCCTAGGGTTCCTCTCAGGAGGAGATCTCACAGTTGAATCTACTCTTCCAAACTGGCTGTCTAAGGATTTAGGTATACACACTTACTCAGACTTTGTCAGTGCTTATCTTGCTGAGTAATGGCCTCACAAACATAATTCTTTGTTGAAATGAAAGATGCATTGTCTTGATATGAGGTCATTGATAAATTTTTGTTCTTGTGAGAACGGACCACACTTGAGTTCATCTTCTGTCTGTTCTTAACAAGGATGTCCACCCCTTCATTGGCTTCATCAGGGCCGATCTCTGAAGGAGAATGCTGGCGTATTCTCCTTCGAGACTGAGCGGCCTCTTTGAAGGCCAAAAAATTGGAGGTCTGCTTATTTTGACAAGACTGTGGATGGTCTTCAAGACTTGTGTAGCTTTCTAAAGATTAGTGAATTCTTACTCAGAGCTCTGATTTGTTTTGCAATCTCCTGCTGAGACCTTCCCATCCGGTCTCAGTTAGAGAGGAAAGACAAATTCTTGTTCTGAGTTGAAGAACTTTCTCTTCCAGCCAAGCTCTCTTCAAGGTTAAATGTGTCCTCCAGCTGGCTGTCATTGGAGACCTTCTGGTAGCCTTGCAGAGGGTTGAGTCCTGGCTTCAGATAAATTTGACAACTATTTTTCTTTCTGAGAGAAGGATTTTGGGCTCCTTGAGTATAGTCCTGGATAGAACTATCCAAGTAATTACTCCTTGAGTCAGTCTGGATACCTAAGCGGCTGGAGTAGTTGGTCTTTGCACCTGAAGAGACTGATAAGTGCTGACATTCTTTAGAGAATGCGTCACTCTTTTGGCCAATTAGTGTTTTGGTATAGCTCTTTTGAAAGTTAGATGATTCCCCTATGTTTCTGTAATTCTCATAGGCTGATGATCTTTTCTCTAAAAATAACTATGAGATCACATTTTGGCAGTTTTAAAAGAGACTTTCAACGAAATACAAGTATTTTTAGAGTTTAATGTCCCAAAGCAAATTGACTAAGATTTTGCAAAGTTTCCAGCTTATGTCTGGCATTGTGTAGCTTACTAGATCTATCAAAGTTGGAGCTTATATTTTCAAACTGAGTTGTAGCCAGATAGTTATATGGTTTCACTGGCTTGGACCCTCTCCGCTTATCAATGGGGTATTTAGTATCTCTGTCAAGTTGCCCAATTCGCTCCATTTATATTTAAAAATTTATACGGGTGCTAATTCAATATGATCTTCTTCCCCAGGGGTTTTGGGGTTTTGGGGTTTTGGGGTTTTGGGG